AAGCAGGGAGCTGAGGCGCAGGTCGGAGGGAACGGCGTGGCCCTGGGGAGAGGGGTCCCACTCTCAAAAGGGATGTTTGCTGCTAGCAAGGACCCCGACCTCAGTGACAGACCCACACCCTGCCAGGACGTCCCTGACCCCTGTGTGGGAGGGAGAAGCTGACCCTGGGCTGAGCCTGGGGGCTGCCCCACGTACCCCTGAGGGCTTTCCTCCTTTCCCCTCCAGCTGGGTGGGCTTTGAGTACCCTGAGTACCAGGGGCAGCAGTTTATCCTGGAGAAGGGTGACTATCCCCGGTGGGAGGCCTGGAGCGGGAACAGCGGCTACCGGACCGAGCTCCTCCTGTCCTTCCGGCCTGTCAAGTGCGCGGTGAGTTACCGGGACCCCACCGCGGTGGGCCTGGGGCAGGCAGAGCCTCCCCCTGGCAGCCCAGCATGGAGGGAGGCGAGGGACAGACAGGAGGATGGGTTGCATGGGATGTGGGATGGAGGGGTTGCTGCACCCACTGGCTCCCGCCTCCCTGCAAGGATCCTGGGATGCTCTTTAGGGCTAAAATGTAACCCGAAACACCGTCCCAGCTCCTTCTCCTTCAGGCATTGGAAAGCCACCCCCCAGGTTGGGGTCCCCAGGCCTTGTCCCCCTGCCCTGGATACCCGGGGATGGGGCGAGAGGAGCTGGCAGGCCTGCAGGGATGCTCGGGGTGTGGGGTCCATCCCCCTCCCGGCCGGGGTACCCAAGCCGTGCCCAGGCAGATGCAGCCTCTATCGCTCCATCTGCAGAGACACTGGTGCTCGCAATAGCGGCACGTCTGCGCCTCCGAGCGGGGGGTCCCCCCCCAACTTTTAATAATCACCAGGCAGATATGCTTGGGCTTTAATAAAGGGGCTGCGATAAGATCACCCATACTGGCAGGCCTGCTCCTGCCTGCGGATAGATGCGTGTGGGGGCTGGGCAGGGGGGACAGTGCCGCATAGCTGGTGTCCCAGTGATTAACCCCTCGGTGCCCAGCACCCAGCACCCAGCAAAGCCCCACAGAGCTGCTCTCAGCAGCCTGCCTTGCCCCACAACCCCCCTGCAGCCTCGGGGAGCACGGGGGTGCTGAGGGCAGGAGCCTGTGCGGGTGCAGGGGTGGTGGATTTTGTGCATTGGGACCACGGGGACAGGAAAGCAGCATCCTCTGGGCAGCCCTGGGGTGTCCTGGTGAGGGGGTGCCAAGCTGAAGGACATCCCCATACCTTGCATCGAAGCTGGGCATGGTCCCAGGCCTCCCCTAGCACCTTGGTGCGTGTCCCCTTGATGCCACATCCCCTTTTCCCTGTGCAATCCAACACATCCCCACTGATCCCCCCAGCTCTCTCCCTCTGCAGAACCACAACGACAGCAAAGCCATCCTCTACGAGGCAGAGAACTTCCAGGGGCACAAGTTTGAGCTGAGCGACGACTACCCCTCGCTCCAGGCCATGGGCTGGGGCAACAAGGAGGTGGCATCCATCAAAGTGAACGCCGGAGCGTGAGTTCCACCAGAGGGGAGAGGAGTGGTGGGGGATGAGAGCAGGAGTTCAGTGAGCACCTCCCTCCTGCATGGCCCCAGGGATGGGGAAAGGGGACCCCCAAAAGGAGGTGTGCCTGCCTGCTCCCCTTCACTTGAAAATCCAAGCTATGGAGTGTTTTCTGTCCCTCCCCTCTCAGGGCAAGCAGGGGCAAGGGATGGGATGGGATGGGATGGGATGGGACAGGGTGGGGGGCTGGGGCTTGGCCCAGGGTGCTGAGCCAGGGGTCTGCCTGCAGGTGGGTGGCATACCAGTACCCGGGATACAGGGGCTACCAGTACGTGCTGGAGCGGGACAGACAGAACGGCGAGTTCAAGAAGTACAACGAATACAGCAGCCAGGCCCACACCAACCAGATCCAATCCATCCGCCGCGTCCAGCACTGAGCAGGGGCAGGGTTGCGTGCCCCGCAGCCTCTGGGCTGCCATGCAATTGACCTCTATCCGGTAGCAAATAAAGGCATTTGTCAAAAAAAAAAGGGTGCTCCTACCTCTGCTCTGCTCCTCAGGGGGCTGCCAGGCCTGGGGAGATCCCCTGTGCGGTGGGAGGCAGGGTGCCTGCCCCAGCCCTGCTGCCCCCCAGCTCTCAGCACCACCTTCCCGAGGTGGTTTTGGACCTGTGCCTGCCTCCACCCTGGGCTGATCTCTCTGCACCCCACCTCTGGTCCATGCACAGTGACTAGAGGGGATGCAGAACGGTTCCCATCCCCGTGATGCTCCGGCTGGGGAAATGGGAACTAACTGGGAACTTACTGGCTTTGCTGGGCAAAGAAGGGGCTGGAGCCAGGAGGGGGCATCCAGGGGGGTTGTACCCCGGATCCTCTTCCCAGGCTAAGCACCAGGGAAGGTGACTGCTACAAAGCCTGTGAACATGAGGTGTCCTCTCTCTGCACCCTGGTTTGGAAGAGAGAGGGGGGTTGCTGCCTGCTGGGGGCTTGAGGAGGAGCATTGGGGTCTTCTGCAGGGGACAGACTGCCCCAAATGGGACGGCCACAGCTGGGGCACTGGCTTATAGGGTGGGTGTACAGATGGTGTGTGTGGGTGCTGGGGATGGGGGCAGGAGGTCCTCAGGGCAGCGTCCCGCAGCTGGCAGGGGGCTCAGCTCACTGCTCCCAGCACCCCTAGGGTCCGGGTGCCCCCACCCCCTGCCTGGCCACGCCAGCACATCCGTGCCCGCATCCGGGTCCGGCTCTGCCCAGGCACACCAGGTGCCCCACCCAGCCTCCTCCTCCTCCAGCACCCTTTCCCGGCTTCCTCCTCCTCTTCCATACTGCTCCAGCACCCTGAGCCCTCCTGGGGCACAGGCCTCTGGTCCCGAGGTGCTCCCTGCACCCAGGACATCCCCTCTAAAGCCACAGGACAGTGGAACAATGCTGGGTGGCTTGGACACTTGGGTGCCTGGATGCCCACCCTGCTACAAGCACACCTGGCCTTAGGGTTGTGGGTGCCCCAGAAGGGTGCTGGGATACTGGGAAGGACTGGGCTGGGGGTCGGTGTGTGCACACCCCGCAGCCAGGGCTGCACAGAGACCCCAGCCTGTGAGAGTGTGTGTGTGTGTGTGTGCACGGCACACGTGAGCTCACAGATGAGCATGCACACAAGCGTGCCCTGCACGTCCCCGCTCCCTCTCCCCTTGCACCCCAACGTGTGCCGTGCAAAAGCCCCAGCACCTTGTGCATTCCCATCCCGCAGGGCATCCCCGCTGCAGGGTGCCCCCCAGCAAAATGTGGGGTCCTTATTGCTCCATCTTGGGACGGGGGGGAGAGCGCTGGTTTGGGGGGTGGTGGGCAAACTGCCTGCTTGCAGCGAGAGGGACCTGCTGCTGCTGCCAGCTGGGTGCTCCACGTGGCTGGGCTCTGTCCCCTGGAGCCCCACAGACCTGGACCCTCATCTCCCAGACCCTCATGGCCCCAAAGCCCCATTCCCCTGGCTCCCACATGGACCTGGGCCCCTGTTACCTGGATTCCTTTTGTACCCTGCCCCCTCCCCCTGCCCCATCCTGTGGGTCTGCCCCATAGGGCTGCCATGGGGAGGGGGGCAGCTGTGGGGGTCACAGCAAAATGTGGGGTCCTTATTGCTCCATCTTGGGACAGGGGGGAGAGCGCTGGTTTGGTGGGGGGTGGGCAAACTGCCTGCTTGCAGCGAGAGGGACCTGCTGCTGCTGCCAGCTGGGTGCTCCACGTGGCTGGGCTCTGTCCCCTGGAGCCCCACAGACCTGGACCCTCATCTCCCAGAACCTCATGGCCCCAAAGCCCCATTCCCCTGGCTCCCACATGGACCTGGGCCCCTGTTACCTGGATTCCTTTTGTACCCTGCCCCCTCCCCCTGCCCCATCCTGTGGGTCTGCCCCAGCTCCCCCGTGTTCCAGCTCCCTCATGAGCCTGGGGCTACATCGTTGCTCAGGTCCTCAAAGCTCCACATGGGCAGAGAGCTCCCCAGCCCTTGGGACCCCATGCTCCCTGCCCTTCTGTACCCCTCAGCCTCCAGGTCACCCAAAGCCCCCAGTCCCCTCACACCCCACTGTAAGCCCCCCCACCCACTGGCTTTCCCAGGGACCCGGGAGTTCCCATCCTCAGTGCTCCCCGCAGCTCCCCCCATCTCCAGCTCCCGCAGCCCTAACCCTGCTTCTCAGGCAGATCCCAAACTGCTCCCCCCACCCTGGGCTGATGCAGTGTCCCTCAGCCCAGACGCCCCCCTCCGCAGTGCAGGTTTGCTGGAGGAGGACCCTGGGGCTGCTCAGGGGAGAGGGGCTCGGCAGGTCTGACCCCCTCCCCACCTCACCCCGCTGTCTCCGGGGCTTGTTTTCCGTTGCCTGCGTTTTGTTCCAGTGACTCAGGCAGCGAAAGCAAGTCTGGGAGGCTGCGGAGCCGCTGCTGGGAGAGCTGTACTTGGGGGGCTGAGGCAGAGAAGAGGGGGAGGGGAGCAGCCAGGGCTGTTTGGCTGTATGGAGCTGGGGCACCCTGCTTTGGGGTTCAGGGGAGCTGAGGGGACAAGCTGGGGGAAGAGAAACTTTTTAAGGGCTGTAACATCCAAACAGGATTGGTGGGGGAGTACTATGGGCTCCACTCATGTCTCCCCCCACCAGCATCTGCTCTCTGTCCCCCATGGAGATAGGCAGCAGGGGGGGAGCACCCGGAGCCCAGCTCAGCACCCATGGGACCCCTTGTTTCCTAAACCTTTTGGACACTCCCACCCAGGAGGAGCCACCAGCCTCCTTGGGCTGTGGCACCCTGGCTGAGTGTTGCTCCCCGTGGGCTGCGGCTTCTTCTTATGCAGGGCACATTTTGGCTGCAGTATAATATAATAACCGTGGGTCTGGCATGGCTGTACCCTGGTTTCCATTGGATTCTCGTCTTGTGATCACCACTTTCAAGAAATTCAGCTAAGTCCGGCGTCAGAGCTCATCCTTTTAACTAGACATCAGTGAAACACCGCAGGAGAGGTCATGGGCTGATGGGCAGCTTGTACGGCATTGGACTCGTGGAGAAGAGCTGGTGCCCACTGCTGGCATGCTGCCTGGATGCCTCAAGCTGTGAGGAGCTGGCAGAGGGTCTGCTCTTGGCCATCAAAGATGGCTCTGTCCCCCCAGCCAAGAGCAGACCCTCCACTGTCACCCCGCAGCTGCACGTAGAAGCCAAAGCCATGGGTGATGGGGAAAAACCTGGCCAGATGTGTCTTTCAGGGGCCAAGATTATCCCAGACCCCTGTTAAGAGTTTCTCCCTAAATTGCCCTCCTGTCTTCACAACACCCAGGGCTGCCCAGGACAAGCTGGTGGAGATGGGGCCACACAGGTTTGGGTGGGTGTTGGGGATCACCCAGCTTCTACAGGTCCTAATAAAGATGGGTGAGAGATTGAGAAAGGGCTGGGGACCTCAGGGGTGGTAACAGGCTTAACCCTCCCCCGAGGCAGGGACTCTCTGTCCATAAGAGCATGGAGAAGCCAAGGAGGTGGCAGAGCTGTGGTACGTCCTGGTGCCACCAACCTCTGGAGATGCACTTACCCACCCTGGAGCTCTGGGCACCATAAAGTGACCTCAGCATCGGGCTCCCGGAGCTGGAAGGATGTGGTGGGGACATGACTGATCCACCCTGGAGCTCTGGGCACCATAAAGGGACCTCAGCGTTGGGCTCCCGAAGACAGAGGGATGTGGCTGGGACACAACTGACCCACCCCAGGGCTCTGGGAGTTCCAAAGGGACCCCAGGACTGTGCTGAGGACCCTGGATCTGAAGAAGGGTCAAGGCAGGGAACCCCACAGGAGGCTTGGGAGGACGGGACGACGCTGTGCAGGTGGGATGCCGAAGGTCCAGGCGATGCCAGCAGCGCGGGAACGGCCATGCCCGCCCGCCGGCCATGCGGGTCGGGGA